TTCGCCTTTGCAAACTTTTCAGAAAACAAAAAGACATGGACTAGAAAGAGAATTTTATGCGCATTTCGAATATGAACTTTGTTTTGAAATACACCCTTTTCTTCATCCTGTGGATGCAATTCTTTTTAAGAAAAAAAGAAATGTATTTTATTTTCTCTGATGTGAGACGTCCGTTCAAAAAACAACTATATTATCTATGAACATTTTCTCGTTTATAACGTGTACTAATGTGTTCAAATGTTCGCATTCGATTTATTACCGATTGAAATTCTGTTCGAAATTCTAGACTACTTATCCATATGGGATATTGTCAGTTCTCTAATTGAACTGAACGATAATCGTATTCAAACAATTATTTTTAATCGTAAATATTTACTTCAATTTCCGAGTATTTCATACACAAACTTTTGTTGCCATTTTTTTCAACAATATTTCTCAATTGCTCATTTAATATCAACTATTCAATTAGACAATGACGATATTGTTGCCAGTCAACTATTCATTCGTTGGTTTGATAATATTCAATTATTTCCTAATTTGAAAAAACTTGTACTGATTGAAATAGATTTCTGGCCAAACGTACTATGTGAGTTACTGAAAGAATTTGAATTATATCATGATCATCTTTGTGAATTAGAAATTATATTTCATCGTTTTGAATTAAATTATCTGCATACAATTGAACAAATAGTCATCAACGAGATCTCATTTGATAAAATGACGTTCAAATGTCTATATAATGTGGATTATCATCAAACTTATGATCACAATTTATATCGACTTTTGAATGCTAATGATACTGTGCTGGTCAATGTTGTTCAACTGACAATATCATTGCAGGATTATTCCGAATTTGTTTCATTATTATTAACATTACCAAATATCGAATATTTGAATGTTACATTTTATCTTGCTCATCTCGTTTGCAAGACAATCAGCAGCAGCTTATATGCACGATTAAACGTTCAGTATCTGAAACGTTTACAAATGAAAAATATTCATTTCAGTAACATTATCATGTTACTAGAGAATGCATCGACAATTGCAAACCAAATAGAATGGTTGACATTATTAAATGTATTTGACGACAAAACATCAAGCAGTGGTGAGTATTCTATTTGCTAGTAGCTGCAGTGGCGGCCAAAATTTTCCGTACACCCTTATCCTCTTTTTCTTTTGGTCATAACTCGGTTATTAAAGGCCTCAAACAGTAAAATGATTGAAATTTTCTAAATAGATAAATACCTTTGAGGCCTGTACTAAATGGAGTGCAGTTCAATTAAGAATGGTGGTGGAGAACTTGGTGACATCTCATTTTGTTCAGAAATGTTTGCTCTATCGGATGAAGTTGTTAGCAAGAAGTATTCCCTACAGGACGACGAAACGATGAAAAAAATTAAATTTTTCTCACGAAATTGTTTAATTTACCAGCTATAGATGGTTGACATATCATTGTTGAACGTAGACAGATACTGAAAGAAGGAGTCGGTTTCTTTTCTTTCGAGATTTCAGCTATCCTAGCCATAAAACTAAAACAGGACTTTTGCTATGTCCGAAAGCGTGGCATGCAAGTTTCATTCATGCAGTTTATCCCACATCGCACCCGAATGTCGACATTTTTAACACGTTATGCGCTCTGTTTTCTTCTGCAGAAATCAGCAAAGAACGATGTCATTTTGCCTTTTATCGTAAAAACTGTTTCGTGTTTACAGCCACATTTTCTTCAAAGTAGAGATGTACAACCCGACCCGATCCGAAGGTTGAGTACGGGTACTATCTTGTTTTAATTTACCCGAAAACCGGAAGGTTCTAGTAGAAAACCCACAAAATTTTAGTAAAAAATACAGGAGTTTAGCTAAAATACATGAAGGTTTAAAAAAGAATTACTTGAGAACGTAATGATAATTTGACATCTTCAGCCGAAAAACAAACGTTTTTAGCTGGAAAACACAAAGGAGAACATTTTTAGGCATAAGTCCGGTACGGGTACAAAGTTCTCGGACAGGGTCGGATACGGGTGCCAAAATGTTACCCGTGCACATCTATACTTCAAAGTTTTGCTGTTCACTTTAAAAAACAACAAGTCTTAATGTAAGATTTTTTAGATTGGTTCAAACAACTCATGGTTTGGGAGTTGTTTGAACCAAAACTGAGAACGGTAATTTCGGAGTTCGACAGAAACGCTATTCGACAGTGTCGAATTTCGACTCAAAAAACTTCGACACACTTGAAGTTCGAGTGAAAACTTTCGACACATTTTTCGCTCGAAATTCGACAGTATTGAAAGTTTTCACTCAAAGTTCGACAATGTCGACAGCCTGTCGAATTTCCATTGAAAAATTTCAAAAAAACATAAAGAGTAATGACGTAAAAGCGTAGGGTGGACATGAGAGTGAGTCATGAGACCGCGTTCAATGTGCAGCCACTAAGTCCTGGAGACTACTGATGGTTTTTTCCCTAGAGATATAGTGAAATGGTGATGTGAAGACGTAGGCATTGTCTACGCCTCTACGTGTTTACGCTTTTGCTTCTCTAGTAGAGAAGTGAAGAGAAAATTTGTCGAATTACTAGTCAATTTGAAGTTTTTCGCTTGAAAATCGACAGTGTCTAAAGTTTTCACTCGAAATTCGCCAGGCTTTGGACACTGTCGAATTTCGAGCGAAAAATCCGACAGTGTGGAAAAGTGTCTGTCGAAAAGTAGAACTATCAAACGGCGACACATGAGAACCTCGTAGTCACTCTTAGAAAACAACTGATGCTTTACTGAATAGCGGTGACAGAATGGGATTTGCAGTTATAGTCGTCAGATATAGCCACTCAAGCTTGAGAGAATCTTTGTATCAGTCTGAAAATAGCAGCATTTGAGGATACTAACATACAGATAAACAGTTCATTTTTAGTGCAAATTTTCCAAGGTGGCTCCTGCTACACCTTGGACGAGGTCTGCATGGAACGGATCGCCCGATTTAGCGACGACAAAATAAAACGATGTGTTTTTAAACGTTATTATGCGAAATTTCGACTTATATTAAAAAATAAGAGTAAATGTAAGGTGCACGTAATTCAAAGGATGAGCACCATTTTCTTCCTCGACGAATCATACATGGTTGGATACAGCTCGTCAAGCTGAGTCGAACTTTGAAACTGAATTTGGGAGGAGAAGATTTTGAAACACTAAAAATTTTACTTTAGCTCAAAAACCGACAATATTACAACAAACCTAATTTTTCAAACTTCCTTTATGATTTATAGTTTTCCAGTTTTTCTCTTCTTATTCAGCATGAAAAAGTGAATAAGAAAACGTGAATTCGATATCGTTCGCATATAACGTGGACTGAAAATTTCCGAATATGGTGAAGGTCGAGAAACTGGGCACTCTTCCGATTGTAAACCTATCTAGTTTTTTTGGTTAACTGACGAAGCCATATTTCATATGTCGTTCGAATCATCACACCAGAGCATCGTTTTTCTTCTATCCTACTTCCATGCTCAGAAAATTCATTTTTTCTAAATCAGAGGCGAAAAAGCCGGAATTCTGCTCGTAATTCTCAATTTTCTCTATCAGAACTCAACTTTTATGCAATAAAATTGTCATATTCGAAATCAGGGTCAAAAACTGAGCTGACTGATGTGTATTTCGAAATTTGTAGTTAATTTTCATTTTTTGATGGAGATCTCGATGATTTTTTAATGTGAAAATTCGAAAAAGACAAAAAAATTATCCTTTTCCTGTTATCGCATAGGTCTATAGGCAGATATATCTCTCATGCAGACTGTATTTCACATAAGAAAAGGCATTAAATGCTAAAGATCTGTTGAAATGAAAGTGTGGTACAGAAGTGAAAAGTGCATTTAAGACAATCGGAAGAAAATCCTTGAAAAGGGGGACACCCGGGAGGACAGATTTCGCGGGGGACAAATCTTTATATGTGGGATTATGTCCCTTATGGGGGGACATCTGGCAACCCTGCTTCTGACTTAACATATTATTTCTTTATCGTTTTGTGAGATGTTTAGGGTTAGATGAGATCATTAGAGTTTAATTAAACACTGTGCCCCTTCCTTTCTTAGTACATTTTGGTAAATATCTCCAACGCTCTGAATCAGTTCTTTAATCATCTCCCATCGCGGACATGATCTAGTGAACGACAGTGTTTTTTAGGGTATTTTAACGGACAGACGAATGTTGGAGCAAATTTAATTCATTTTTTTGTTGCAAAAAATGTCTTGGTTGTGTTGTAGAATTGGGTAATGGTAATCGGTGGCAACTACTTATCACGACATATCTCCCACGTTTAACTACATTGCAGTTTACTCTATTCATACAAAAACCGCCCATCACTACTATTGACCATCTGTTAGAAAACTTTCAGTCCTATTACTGGTTAGACAAAGAATGGTTGGTCAGCTATTATACTGATAAACAGTTCGATTTATGGCCGTTCCAGTTTTATTTGAATGAAGCTTTTATTATCTATACGGTACCATATGATAGTAATAACGATAATGATGAAGTAAATAATGTTTATTATTTAAATCGAATAAATAAAAAATCATCAAGACAACTGAAACACTTGCGTTGGAATATTGATTCAATGTTAGCAATTTACCGTTAATTAGGAATACTCTAACGGCATTCTCAAATTTACGTTCATGTCAGTTAAACTTTTCCGAGGTAAATAACTCTTTTTAGTACGTTGACCGCATAGAAAATGTCTTTTGGAAGTAAAATAACCGATGCTTCAGAAGAAATTGCCCTCTTGGTATTTTCGTCTTTTCTCCTTTTTCTTCTACCCATTTGAGCTACTTCGTTTTGCAAAAGATGTGCCTTGGAATACTCTACAAAATCATACCTAAACTATAATTTAAGAACTTCAATCAAGAAAACTAAGCCAATTAGATGAAAGTCGAAACTTTCCAAACTCAAAATTATTTCCCACTTGAACTTTGTCTTCTGCTACTATTTCCGCTAAAAATGTAGCAAAATTGAGGACTTAGTTTGTGTTTGGTACTTTCAAATGTGCTCTTTGTCATGGTCTGTAAGAACTCTTTTTTAGAGCAGATGACGTACTGGAGAACGAAGTTACAAAGTTTGACAACCTTCCAGTTTCCAACAATGTGCTCAGGCAAGAGACGAAAAACATTATTGAAGTTTTGGTTTTGCAGTTAGAGAAGAGCAATCATTTCTGATCAAAACAAAACAAACCCGACCGAAAAGCTTTTACTCTGATGGAGTTATGGGACTTTTACTCATAGCAGCACTATACTCAAAATTTAAAAAACTACTGAAGAAATGCATGACAACCGACAGAAGAACTATTATGTCGCCATGGCTTTTGATGTGAAAAAATTTGAAGCGTAGCTAAAAGATAGAGCGAAGTCAAGGCTACAAAATGGTTAATTCAGGTTTTCTTACTTTCAAAACGTTAACACAAGAAATCATTTTTGACTTTGGAAGGTTTTCATTTTTTTTGACTTTCATCTAATTGGCTTAGTTTCTTGATTGAAGTTCTTAAATTATAATTTAGGTATGATTTTGTAGAGTATTCCAAGGCACATCTTTTGCAAAACGAAGTAGCTCAAATGGATAGAGGAAAAGGGAGAAAAGACTAAAATACCAAGAGGGCAATTTCTTCTGAGACACCCGTTAAATATCACAATTTGAACTTATATGTCTAGAAATTAACATAAAAGGTACGTAGCAGCTCGTGAGAGAATCCGGTTTTATGAGCAGTCCGTGAGCGGTAATACTCTCTTATGAACTCCTAATCAGAGATGAGCAAGTGTGACTAGCTCTGAGCCTTCGAATTTTGACATTTGAGCAAGTGGATGATAGTTTTTTAAAAAGTTAAGTCCGTTTTTTCCGCACAGTTCTGATTCTACGTTTCCCATAAACGTCTCTTGAGAGAGTAATAAATTATTTCATTTCTATAGTCGTCTCAATATGAAAGATGGCCATTGTTATTAATCATCATCCGATCAAAGTGCTGTTGTTTTGAAACTGTACAAAATTGAATTGAAATTTCATAATGATATGCCATTATTACAACAAAAAGTTATTTTCAAATATTTATTATCTGTCACTCCCTATCTCCGTCATTTAACAATTAATCTTAATGTCATAG